AAGCGATTTCTCAAATAGTTTGTTTAGAAATTTTAGACCACTGGTTCGCGGAAAAAAGGGTTAAAATCCTAGATGGTTAATCTAGTTTTGCAAATTTGTTAGTACTGAATAATAATTAAGGGCCTACCTGAAAAACTTTTAATAAAAATTTGTGTACATTTTAATAAAAATTAATAAAATTTGTCGTTGAAAAGATATGAGATTAGTTTAGAATTGATAAACTTTTAGCGAAATTTTATTAAATAAACACAAAATTTTAAGAATAAATTTTATTAAATGTGTCAAGGAATTTGAGAAAATAAAAAACTTTTCAATCCAAGTTCAACTGATAATAGAGATTCACTATGGATTTAAAGGTGGTGATGAAACCAAAATTTTGATTAGCATTTGTGATTTGTGTTTGAAGGTTGTGACGGAGGAAGGCGGTGGTGGTTGCGGTTGCAGTTGTGATTGCGATGGAGGTGGGAGGTGGGCGTTTTCACTTGGTTGGTGTTGGGGGTGGGGTGGTTTGGGAACGAAGAAGAATGATATATTTTTTTTCCTTTTTTTAAGAAGTTTAATTATTTCAATTATTTTATATGGGGTATATAAATTTACTAATTTATCATTTTAAAATTGGTCAAAATTTGGCTAGATCATTGATTTTTGGTCAACTAACTGTTAAAATGGATAGATTCCGTCCATATGTCCTCTAACTACAATTGAAATGAAAGGTTTTGGACTACAGAAGTAAAAATGAAAGGTTTAGGTATAATATATAATAATTTAAAAGGTTTGGGATTCCATCTGTAATTCTTCATGTGAAATGCACAAACTTTAACATTTCAAGCTAAACAATACAATACCCCATACCTATTGGGCGAATTATTAATAACATCCATACCTTTTGAAAATAGAACAAAACATTTTTGTTTGGATCGTTTAGTGTAGAATATCCATATGACATTCATTTTCTCAATAAAAATTTTTACTCCTATCTAAATAAAACAAAAAGAAATGAAGAAAAAAACTAACGCAGCTATAGGGTGTGTTTGATGGATATTATTTAGAAAGGAATGTATTTTAAATAATGATATTGGAAAATATGTGGTTAAAAAATAAGAAAAAGTTATTGATGTGGTGGAAAATATTATTTTATTATAGAATGTGTAGCCGAAAATGAATTTTGAAATAATGTATTTTTAAAGAATGTGTACCCAACATGGGCACAGTTTCACTTTTTTTAAAAAGTACAAATAAGCACAAATAAATTATTAAAAAAAATCAATTTATCTTTATCTTCCCATCACCACCATCACCGTTGAATGGTTCCAAGATCGAACCAAATAGGAAGTTCCCAATGTAATCAATGTTTGAATCTTATTGCCAAAACACAAATTGGGTGGCAAATTTCCAATTAATTTGTTTGATCAAACATCTACTTCTTGTAGATTTCCCGAGAAGCATATGGGAAGTGCAACACGTGCCTTATTAAGCCTCTGTTTGACAATCATTATTTTCAAACTTTTTTTATACATTCATTTTCAACTATACATTCTTAAAAATTACTATTCAAAACTCTTTTTTTCCAAAATAATGGTTGTCAAGCCGGGCTAAACAATACAATTGCGACTTCACCTACTATTTACCTCAATCATGTGAAGGTAGCCATTGTTTGGCCCCATTAAAATATTAATTCATTTTTTTCTCTCTTTTTAACAATCATATATTTTTCAATAAAATAATATTACACGTAATTCCAAAAATTTTTCTTTCTTTTTTATCATACATTTTTCAATGGAGGTGTAGTTCCACAAGGAGGAATAGTAGTTCCACTAGGGGGCAAAATTCAAAAAGAAAAATTGCTTATTGAACATCTTTTTTGGGAACGTACAGACACACCTAACCATCTAGAAACCCTACCAACCTTTTAGAAGGCATAAAGACAACAATAGCACTACACTTACAATTATTAGAGGGCTGTAAANTTACAGCCCTCTAATGACTATACAAGTGGGTTTTTTCTAAAGACAATTAGACCACATTGTACGAATCATCTTTAATAAAAAAGCACGTTAAAAATAACTTCATTATTCAGACTACTATTGTGAAGTGTTGATCAATTTTCTACCTGCAAAAGTTTTCTTGATTCGTCCCAATGACATTTTAGACACACTCGTGATAGTTTGTTTAATATAAAGTCATTGCACATAACTTTAAATTGTCAAATCTCTGATAGGAAAAAAAAAAAAAAAAACTGTCGTTTTATTTTCTTCTCTTCCTTTAATTATTATTATTATTATTATTATTTTTAAAAAGCCACTTTCGCTAATGGCCAAAACCTAAAAATATGCACCGAAGACAATGATTGTGTCATTTGTACATCACTTTTTGCCAACCTTGTTGACAAAAAGTGTATTGACAAAAATTATTGGATGAAAAAACAATTTTTTTAAATTGTCCAATTGACATTTTGTCAAGAAAGATGTATAACAAGTATGGATCTACAACTTTGTCAAAATTTCACTTCGAATTAGTCAACTAAAATAAAATGTGAAATGAGTATAAAAGAGAAATTGACGACTCCAATCTATCACGAAAACTCATATTTCATTTTATTTTTTTCAAATGTACACAGTCAATTAAAATCAGTCATCAAAGTCAAACGCTACACGTACATGATTTTAGTACTGGATTATCTAGAAGATGACTTAGGCAACTTGACAAATTTTAGATTATTACACACTTGATTAAGATTGCTCAAAAAAAATTTGTAATGAATATTCCTTGCGCGTTAAAATAAAACATAATATATATACGTGCATCTGGAACATGTGCACGTGCTTCTTCTAACTTAAAGGTCCTCAATTTATTAAAATGGAAAACAATTTTCTCATAACATTTTTGTCATATATTTTTTACTTTTTATTAGAACCGTCCCATGAATTTTCCCTATTGTTTATTACCTCTGATTAGGTACCCAGTTAACTTTTTAGAGCCATACCAACAAACAATTTGACCACCCTAGGAATTTTCTTGCTTATCTTTAGTCAAAAATAAGTAAAATTAATATTTTTAACTTCAAACTACCGTAGAGATGAATTATTTAGGAAACAATTGCAACATGGGTCTCTAACCTTTCATATTTTTGCAAATTTTATCATAACTTTCAATTTGTACCAGTAAAAGTTCATAACCTTTCAAAAATATGCAATAGGTGTCAAAAATGGACGTCTTCTATCTATTTGACAGTTAGTTGATCAAGAAAAATGAAATTTGACCAAATTAAAAGGTTAAAATTGTAACTCATAGTTACCATATTAAATAAATGAACAAAAAAAAGCAGGAAATAAAAAAAAAAGGTTGCCTCCTTCACCCGCCCCCAACCCGACCAGACCAGACCAGATCAGACCATGATTATCAACTTTCTTCTTCTCAAAATCATCAACTTGTAAAAGGGCTAGGGTTTTTCCTTATTATTATCAACTTAGAGGTTTGAAAGTGACAACTATAGTGAAATGGTCAATTTTTGTAACACAAATAACCAGGCGGTGGGGTGTGTCAGGAAGGCAGTCATAACATCGGACCACCATCCACCTCCCATCACCACCACCACCAACCGCTGCTATAAGCTACCACCATCATGCCAACAAACTTTATTAATTCCTCTACAAAAAACATCATTACATTTTTGTCATCGAATATCACCACAATGTAGATTTCAAAATGGAGAAATAAAATAGTGAAGAAAGTTCAAATTTGGGAAGAAAGTCCATCACCAATAACAACATCACAATATAAATCTGAAAATGAAAAAAATCAATCTAAAAAAAAAAAAAAAAAATTGGAGAATTTTAGATTTAAGAATGAAGTTACCTAGTTCATATACGAAATTACAGATTTTAGGTGGGTTTTGCGGACTAATTTTAGATATAAATGCAAAAACATATTATACAGGGGAAAGAGGGTGTGGTGGGGTGGGGCGACCGGAAGAGTCAACCTTTTTTTTCTTGATTTTTTTTAATTTTTAATTTTTTAATTTTTTGATTTTTGGTTTTTTAGTTCATTTTTTAATATGGTAATTATCAAATTACAATTTTACGCTTATTAATTTGGTCAAAATTCATTTTTTTGGTTGACTAACTGTCAAATTGATGTAAATCGTACATTTGGACCTCTACGGCATACTTTTGAAAGGTCAGGGACTTTTACTGGCACAAATTAAAATTAATGTAAAATCTGTAAAAAGTGAAATGTTAGGGACCGCTGCTTCAATTTACCCAATTATTTATTATGCTGTACTGCAATAGGAAAAAATAATAAATAAATAAAATTAATTAGAAAGGAGCATATATAAAGCTAGTTTGACTTCAAGAAGCTGAAAACATAATGTAAATGTTTTAATGATTCTTTATAATTGTCGTCGCTATCGTCCTCAACCAATGAAAAGTAAGGACCTTCAAAAGTTGACCCCTTCTTCCTTGGGTGTCACCTCCTAACAACGCTTCTTTATGATTGTCATCGATGTCGTCTTCAACCAATGAAAACTAATGACTACCAACTTTCAGCCTTCAAAAGTTGTCCCTTTAGCTTGTGTATAGTATAATAGTAGCTTTCAATAATAAATATTTAGTTTATTACCTATGATT